AAATGGGGTGTCCTCGATCCCTCTTTACACCCTAATACGCAGACCATCCAGGTCTCTGTATTATGTCATGGTCCTGCCAATGTCGACACTGTTTATCCCTATTTATTACACTACAGATAGTGGGCGCTGTCTGATAAACAGGCATTTATCTGCAGTTGAAAAAATTGCTGTAAAAAGCACATTTATCAAAGACTGAAACAGTCTGTAAAAAAACGCTAATAACTTTAATTCCATTTTTGTAGTGTGTAAAGGAAGAAGACACCATTCTGCTGTTCAAACAGAACGTCAAATCCCCGACAGGCGGTGCAGCGGCAGGAGATCAGCTGTTGGCTAGCTCTGTTCACTTGGCTTAAGCCACAATGTTTACACTAGTCATTACTCCTATTATTAGACATGTGCATTCGTTAAAGGACGAATATGATTTTGTCCGAATTTTCTGACTTTTTCATATTCGTTTGCTATTAACATAAACGAAAGTCCTACATACGAATTATATACGAAACAAAAGGGCAAATGCCAAATGCATTACCTTTTCGTTTCAGTTCTTTTGTTTAATACACTGTGTGCTGCAGGAGAATTAACCCCCACAGCACTGAGGAGAAACAAATAAAACTGGATCTCCCTGCAGCAGGAGACCCTAATTAAATAAATATTGGGGGGGACCTAATGTAAATTAAAAGGTACGAACACATGGACCATACAGATGGGAGTTCGGTAAACGAATGGGGGGTACAGACAGCCGAACAAAGGGAATAAAATTATATAATAGGTGTCTGTTCCACTACAATTTTTACAAGAAGGGAGCTGGTAGTGCTGCCGGCTCCTAAATGCTTTTTTTTTTTTTTTTTTTGCATTTACCAAATTTTGTCTGAAAAACGTGTTTTACGAACGAAATTCAGAATGGACGAATGAAATTTTTATTTAGTATAAATTAATTTGTACGAAACAAAAATTTCACTGGTGCACATCTACCTATTATCCAGGTATAGGACAGTGTCTCCATATGGCTGGCTGGCAATGATGAGTGTTACAGTCCAATGCAGTTTAAAGGCAGTCACCCCTAAACACCCCCAACCCTAACCATCCCAACCCTTAACACCCCCAACCACCCCGAACACTAAACACCCCCAACCCTAAACACTCCAACCCTAAACACTCCAACACTAAACACCCCCAAACCTAACCACCCCAACCACCCCTAACCCTAACCATCCCCCAACCCTAAACATCCCTGTGGCGGTACAAGCTTTTACTCCGTCAAGCATTCCCTTCTTCCCATAAAATGAAATCACCAAGTAATCCACAGAGTAATAAATCGCTGGTATCGCCGAATAATCCACACATGAGCCAAGGCTTAATGCTGGAACAAGTCTGATGTACTGAGAAACAAGGCACACAATTTATACAGTACATAACTCCTCCTCTGGGCCAGGCTAGATAATTGGGTTTGAGCACTTATCAAACTCAATTATCTAGTGGCCAGAAAAGTTAAAATTTTTCCACAATTATTAGAAACATACTTTATACATAACATATCAATATAAAAACCATATCATTGGGTAGCTGAGGGTGATGTGAGCAAAATTTCGTGAGAATCCGTTCGGTAGTTTTGGAGTTATACCATGTGGAAATTTGACCGGCTCGCCACAAGTTTGTAGCCGACCCAGAGTTCCATGAAATCAGTGGTGCGAACTGGTCTCCGTTCGGATGAAAATTGCATGAAAACCCCCATAGATATAATGTAGCTGGTTACCTGAGAGTGCTCCCCTCGTTCTGTAGATTGAAACTCACGAACGCCATTCGTGTGCAATTCATGTAAATGGGTCAGACAGGACTTCCATGGGGGACCGGGTATAGCTGGAGAGCCATGCTGAAATTAGTTCCAGGCGCTCGATGCCTAAGTCCTGCTGGCCGGCCGTTCGGGAGTTTAAGATGACCACCATCCATTGTTCTCGAAATGGCGGCCACCCAGGAGCACTCGATTAGCTAGTGGTTTCGTGCAATAACACAGGATTCTACATTCTAATTGCTACCCTGGGTGGTCCTCGTTCGGTAAAATAGCTATTTTACCGAACAAGGGATTTTGACAAATTAAAGTACCGAACAACTAACAATAAAAGGTAGTAGATTCCACGAACAAAGTAGCAGGGAGGGAAAGTACCGAATACATGGAGGGTGATTCTTCACAATCCCTAACCCTAAACATCCCCAACCACCCCTAACCCTAAACATCCCCCAACCCTAACCACCCCTAAACCTAACCACCCCAACCCTAAAACACCCCCAACCCCCCAAACCCTAATCACCCCAACCCTAAACACCTCTAACCCTAACCCTAACCACCCCTTACCCTAAACACCCCTAACCCTAAACACACCTAACCCACAACCTTAAACACCCCTAACCCTAAACACCCCCAACCCTAACCACCCTAAACCTCCCTAACCCTAAATACCCCCAACCCTAACCACCCCTAAACCTCCCTAACCCTAAACCTAACCACCCTAAACCTCCCTAACCCTAAACCTCCCTAACCCTAAACCTCCCTAACCCCTAACCTCCCTAGCCTGAGCACAACCCCTAACCACTAAGCCTCCCCTAACCCCTAAACCTCCCTAGCTTTCTTTAGCCCTAACCACCCCTAAGCCTCCCCAACCTAAGCCTCCCTAACCCCTAAGCCTCCCTAGCCCTAAGCACACAGCCTAACCACCCTAAAGCCTCCCCTAACCCTAAAATCCCTAACCTAAGCACCCCCAGCCCTAGCCACTGAAGCCTCCTAACCCTAAGCCTCCTAGCCCTAAGCACCCCAACCCTGCCCCTAACCACCCCTAAACCCTAACCCTCCTAACCCTAAACCTAACCTCCCTAACCACCCCTACCCCTAAACCTAACCTCCCTAACCTAACCACCCTAAACCTCCCTAACCCTAGATACCCCTACCCCAGCCCTAAACACCCCTAGCCGGAGCAGCGTAATTTATGAGGACACTGTTATAACCTGCTCTTTAACGATGCTGCGCTCCTGTTTCGGCAGCACCAAATTTGGGTCTTTAAAATGATGTTTACCATGTAAAACGTGCAATTTGGTCGACAGGATTCTGCATGCCTCGTACTCCCTCCACATAAATCATTTTGCCTGTGCTTTGTAAATAATTTCTCATACCACAAAGTGCTGAAAAGGTGACCAGATAGCACGACCTGATGCATTTTATTACCTGGAATCTAATCAATTCAATTTATCAAAATTACACAGACTCCAAAATTTAGATTACAGGGAAATCGTGGCTTAAATAATACCCCCTGCATTCCAATGCGTTGCTAAGATAAGGCGTTGAAAATGCAAAAAATAAATATATATAAGGTTTTAAAAAATAAAAACCGCTAAATATTTTGCTGTAAATCACCATTCATTGCGTCTCTTTGCAGCAGATCTCTTCCACGCTAGAAAGCTTTGTCGGCAGGTATTTTCATTCATTACGTGCGAGTGATAGCAGCCACTGTCATTGCTTAGCGTGGTTTGCGGCTCGGCTCTCTCCTGGGAAGTTGTGCATAAAACCTGCGTAACGTTGGACACAATGGGCATAGTGAATCTGGAGAAAAGGAAACAAAGTTTGATTGACAGAAACCAAACGTGGGAATGTCCGCTATCTCCGAACTAGCATTCCGTGCACCATATCCAAGCTGAAGTGGTTATGGTGCTTGGAATAACTGTTTAAATAGTCAAATGGGGGAAATAGAATCATCCCACCAGATCTAATTCCTGTCTGATTATTTTGCCCCAAGATTCTGTCGTTTCTGTTTTTTTTAGATTTCCCCAATTCACAAGTGCGACGGCTTTCACTAACGTGAGAATTCAAAGTGAATTTCAAATTAAAGCCCAGAAAAAGGTGAAATGGACACAGTTATGGTTCTAGATCGGATACTCTGACCTTGAATCTAAAATTCATTTTGAATTCTCGCCTTAGTGAATAACTCTGTACAGATTCTCCATCCCCCGGCTATTGTGACACATGGCTGATTTGATGCTTATTCACAGGTGAGCAGCTGAAGACAACTCTCATTGTTCTTGGCCGGCCTAGAGATAATTTAAGCAGGGTTACAAAGATTGCTTTCAGAGATGAATGCTGTGATTTCGATTAGCAAACCCCTCTCTCCCTGACTCTTTCTGCATTGCTCTCTCTCCCTGTCTCTCTCTGCATCTCCCTCTTTCTGCATTGCTCTCTCTCCCTGTCTCTCTCTGCATCTCCCTCTCTCTCCCTGTCTCTTTCTGCTTTGTTCACTCTCCCTGTCTCTCTCTGCATCTCCCTCTCTCTCCCTGTCTCTTTCTGCTTTGTTCACTCTCCCTGTCTCTTTCTGCATCTCCCTCTCTCTCCCTGTTTCTTTCTGCTTTGCTCTCTCTTTTTGCTTTGCTCTCTCTCCCTGTCTCTTTCTGCTTTGCTTTCTCTTCCCATCTCTTTCTGCTTTGCTCTCTCTCCCCATCTCTGCTTTGCTCTCTCTCCCTGTCTCTTTCTGCATCTCCCTCTCTCTCCCTGTCTCTTTCTGCATTGTTCTCTCTCCCTGTCTCTTTCTGCATCTCCCTCTCTCTCCCTGTCTCTTTCTACTTTGCTCTCTCTCCCCGTCTCTTTCTGCTTTGCTCTCTCTCCCCATCTCTGCTTTGCTCTCTCTCCTTGTCTCTTTCTGCTTTGATCTCTCTCCCCGTCTCTGCTTTGCTCTCTCTCTGTCTCTTTCTGCATCTCCCTCTCTCTCCCTGTCTCTTTCTGCTTTGTTCTCTCTTTCTGCTTTGCTCTCTCTCCCCGTCTCTTTCTGCTTTGCTCTCTCTAGCCTGTCTCTTTCTGCTTTGCTCTCTATAGCCTGTCTCTTTCTGCATTGTTCTCTCTCCCTGTCTCTTTCTGCATTGCTGTCTGAGAGTTATTTGCCGGCATGCAGGTGGAGATTAAATTCCTGTAAGTAGTTTGAGCTCCACTAAAGTCCACCTGGTTTGTGTCTCTTCTTTGTCCTAAATTACAAGACCACACTCAGCACGCACTGTGCGGTGGGCCCAATTCTTTTCTTTCTCCACAGGAACATTTTTTTCAGTTCTCCTCTAAAGCTGTCATGAAGCCAGGCGTAGAGAAACGCGTTGGTACAGGCAGACATCATTGCAAACCAGTGGCACAACAGCTGGACAAGGTTGAAGTATTGCTTGTTGATGAGATTGATGTCAATGTCTTTCATTATATTGAAAATATGCAGTGGCAGCCAACACACCCCAAAAGCCCCCACCACTAGCACCAGCAAACGGAACGTTTTCCTCCTCCTGGCGCGGTCCCACTCTGCCTGGATGTTGGTGATATTACCTGGGACTACCCGGTTTCTTAGCTTTACCGAAATCCTCAGGTAGGACAGTGAAATGACCGTCAGCGGGAGGGCGTAGGTGAGAATAAGGGTGCTGTAAGCGTACGCTAGTCGTTTCTTCCCCATTCCCACCCAAAACTCCTCGCAAATGGAGAAGTCCAAATCGGGAAATTCAATGTGGTACGTGTGAACTATGGCCGGTGCTGCCATCAGACAGCTGAGCAACCATATTCCAGCTAGGATATAGGCGCAGGTTGGGATGGTGAGTCTCCTCCTGAGAGGATAAACAGTGGCGTGGTACCTCTCCACGGCAATCACCGTCAACGTAAAGACAGACACGTAGACTGTGACCGGCTGCATCAGATAGACAAAATAGCACATAAATCCCCCGAAAATCCAACCCCTGGGCTCAAATGCATATGCCAGGGTTAGTGGCACACACGTAGCGCACATCAACATATCAGAAAATGCCAGGTTCCCCACCAGGAAGTTGGTGACATTGTGCATCTTTTTGGTTTTGCAGATGACGTAGATGAGGAGATAGTTCCCAAAAATTCCAATAAAAACTACCAGAGAGTAACACGGGATCACGAGAGCCTTGAAGGAATGGAGAAGCTGCAGACCCATGAATTGATGGCTGGAATTACTGTCCATGGCTGAACGCTGGCTGAGAGTGGCAGGATTAGTTGGAGTTACTACCCATGGCTGATTTTTGAAGGATTATTTGTCCTGCACTGACTAGGAAGGGTATCTGGAGACAGCCTCTTTGTAACACACTGTGGAATGAAAATCAAGCCATTACTGAAACAGAACAAGCACTGATTCCACGGAACAATGTCGTTTAAAATACAGCGCTGCGGAATATATTGGAGCTATACAAATAAAAACAATAAAAGAATCAATACTCGTGTATATCTTATGATAAACATCATGCGTTAACCCTTGTGGTACTGAAGGCTCAATGTTCACGATTGTTGCACTAAAAGAATTAAAGCAGCT